TGCTTCCCTGGATTCAATAGACTAGTCTTTGCTGCTACAAGTTTTGGCGACTTGTGAGGTGTGATCGTGCTGTAAATTTCTTGTTTCGTTCATCGGTTCTTTACGGGAAACGATTTCTGAAGCTGTAAGATTGTGTAAGCACCAATTTGAAATACTATATATATGTCTTTTGCTCTCTGTCACCTGACGGTTACTGCTCTGCAAAGGGAAAACAAGGAATGATAAGGACATACCAAGGTGGAAAAAACCACGCACCTTTTCTTCCACGTACTCGAGAAAAGCCTCAAATCGTTCGTCAGGTTCCTTGAAAAGCCATTTGTAATACGTCTCTCTGTCCTCAAAATTCTCCCGTGCAACATCAGTCATACTTCGGCCGTCAATGATCAATGCAGAATGGACAAGCGCTTGACAACTCTTTTCTCAATATCATCATCGCCCATGCCATCAAACATCCGAGGTGTTGTGAAGCCCACTTCCGGCTCATGTGCGGCTCAAGAAGCGCGATTTCAGCCTGCACCTTAGCCAATTCCTCATCCATTTTGGTAGCTAAAACCCTATCTAGAAACCCTCTTGTATGGAGGCAATGGCGCCCTAGAATCGTCAGGGACCGCACGATCTTCATCTGACGGCCTGGTGTTTTAGACCACTAACTCAATTATAAACAGAAGAGACAAAAAGTGAAAATTCAGCCACACTTTTGTTTGTTTAAGCGATTTTACAGTTTTGTATTGCTTGCTCCTTGGTGGAGTATGCTAGGGCAGAATTATGAGAGCTTGGTGCGCAGGATCTTGGCCATGGTAAGCAGCAGCAACACAATGTGGGCATTCACCTTCCTTGATTCGCTCGCGTCTGGGGTGTTGACGACTGTGCTCGGGAGAGCTGGGACGGCGCCATTCGCATCGGTGGGAAACAAGCGTAGCATCAAGGCATTCCGGGATTGCGTGGACAAGCTATTACTGGGAGATGCTCAGGAAGATCACGCTGCTGCTGCTCCTTGCCATGGCTGAGAATTCCACATCGCGAATGCGTTGCTGCTGCTTCACTGCTTACTCGTGGGATCCGCTGCTCCTCGATGACAATGGTGATCGCGGGAAGTCGATGCTGCTACCCATCACCCGCCCTAGCTTGTTGCTAGTGCTGTCCACGGCGCCATCCCGGCAAGAGCTCCATGCATTCCTCTCCCGTCCTCGGACAGGGCCGGGCTTCCTGAAGAAGAGCGAAGAATCACGTCTCTCCATAAGCTCTTGTAAAAGAAGAATGTACACGCCCTTTGGTTCCGGCCGCCGGGAGAAGCCGCTGCCTTGATGGATTTGCTCCAATCTGTCAAGAGCTCCTCCTCCTCTTCCTGGGGTTTCTCATCCGTGGACACCTTCCTCGTCGCCACCCTCGTCATGCCACACTGTCTCCTCCTTCCAGTGCTTTTGCTGCCACTAGTTTCCTCACACACCACCCAACGCCATACTACTCCTCCAGACAAGCTCCATGTGCGCATCTCGGACAAGCACTGGTTTGTGTGTCCAGTTCAAAATGGACATGTGCTAGGAGAAACTCCCTCATTTGCAATGCTGGACATCATGAAGCTGGACAAGAAAGTGAATTCAGAAGGAAGTTGGTTTATGTACACAGTAACACTAGAGTGGTGGATCATGTTGAAAGTGAAAGAATGAAATTCCTAAAGATTAATTTTGACACAATTGCAATCAAATCACAATGGATGAGGATTATAGAGATGCAAGCTAGACTTGAATCTCTTGGTATAGAAGATTTAGCTGAAGAAGATCTTCCAAATGAGGATATGATTGTTGAGGAAGATATTAGAGATGTCGAGGAACTTGCTAAAGATGTTGAAGAAGATGAGTAATAGATGGTTTGGTTTGGTCTAATGCTTTGGTTTGGTTTAGTTTGGTTTGGTTTCATGCTTTGGTTTTCCTATTTTTATTAATGTGGTTTTACTAAAAATGTTTTTTTTTATCAAAAAAATTTGTGAACCGTTTAGCTGTTTGGCGTTTTCACAGCCGGTCGATAACCACGGTCGGCCGATCAGCCGGTCGACGTTTGGAACGGCTCTCACAAACTTAAAGAGTGGTGTTCCACTGGGTACATAAGGCTGGTTGTGACAACACACCCACACCCACACCCATCTACATACACCATAAACCAACAAATGCCCCATCAAAATGCCTACTCTGTAGATTTGCTGTAGAAAGTAAAAACAAATGGGTATTTGCAATTTTCCCCATAAACATTTGGTGAACTTGGTTCTGAACATAAAGAGGAACATTTGAAGCACTACATGTTTCAATATCATGCCCAGAAAATTTAGCAAAATGCGCCTTAATTCGTTTCGGCGGACCACCATACATTTTTCCACAATAATTACATTTCCAACACTTAGCTCCTTTGCTAGAAGCATAAGGAGTGAGCTTGGTAATATGGGACTATGCCCAATCGAGTGCTATTGCTCAATTGTGCCAGAATTGCTAGAATCAAATTTCTGAAATCACTGGAATTGTAATTTCCATTTTAGGGCAAAAATTTCAGATTTCTCAACGAGCTGCTCCACGCTCAATCGAAAGCAAAGGCCAACCGACTGGAGAGTGTCGCCCTGTAGAGCTTGGTATGCACGCAGCTCCTATAGGCTATAGCCCTCTTTGTCGGATTCTATGTAGGCTTGCTGGGCTGGGCATTCGTGAATGGATGGATCGCTCCATGCATAGCAACAGGAGAACAACAAAGCAGTGGAGATGCAGTGGCGATGGCAATAGCTGCAGCAGCATCGGAAATCTAGCCCCTGTAAGTGCAATCACCATTTTTTTCGCCGAATGAAATCACCGAATGGAACTGTCCGATTGCATTCAGCCGACCACATTCGGCAGCGGTCAGGATTCTGGCTGAACGTGGTTGGGACCAACCATGCCCATGAGCAGGAGAGCTGGCCTTCAAAGAAGTAAGCCTGAGTGACCATTCCAAAGAAAAAGCTGTGGTAAGCTTTGAAAGTCATATGTTATGTGGTGTGTTCTGTAGGTTCCACCTTTGTCAGCTGTTTGGGCCGGTGAAAGGCTAGCTGGTCCATGAATGATGAATTACTAGAAGCTGTAGAAGAGCTGAAGAAAAATCTGAAGAAACGGAAAAGGGGGCAATAAGCTACACTCGTTCAGTGAGTTTTTCTTTTTAGTGTTAGCCTCCATATATGGACAAGGAATGCAAGCTCAAATTTGGAGGATTGACTGAACCAGCCATTATTCTTTAACAAATTGTTCAGGGCTGGTAACCGAATGCTGGTTAGAGAGGACCACTACACGATATTGAAGAAGCTGCACACAAGGGGCTTTTGGACACTGAAACAGCTTATGGGAGTGTTGGACAGGGTCTGCAGGAAGACCACAAAGAGGATGCAAGTCTTCAACCCAGGCAAGAGTTGCAAAGTTCATGTAGATCTTCGAATCCTCCATGGTTGAGGCAAAGAGGGAACAACCTTGGCCGAGAAGGTGCTTTAAACCCAGGGACTTTGTAATGCTGCAATGGGAGATTGAGCCAGATGGAGAAGGAGTTAAGCTGCACAAGTGGACTCAAGTGTTCATGGCCCCATCACCAGCATGGGGAGATGGCGATGTGGAAGTTTAGTTCATAGTCTCTTTGGAGAAGAATGTAGGTTGCCCCTTCTAGGTGACAAGGGAGGATATGCTGCTACCAATGGGAGAAGAGTAGGACATGTTGATGGTGACTAATGACAAGGTCAAGGGGAGAATTTGAGTGCTTCACTAGGCAAAAAAATAGCTAGTCATTATGCAATCACCAACCCACTTGAGGGGAATGGCACACTCAAGTGGTGGCATCAGCAACTGATCAAAGACTTGGATTGGGATCCTACAGAATGGAGGTGAAGTTTGAATAGTTTCTTCTCCTTTGAGGTGGAGGCATGGGATGGTTTGTTGATGAATAGAGAGGAGGCATGTGGAGAGATCCTGAAGTTATGGAGAAAATGAATCAAGCAAGGAGTTGACACAAATCAGATGGTGGACAATATGTTAGATTTCTAGAAGCTGCCAATTCAAGAGAAAGTCAAGATCACTTTTGGCTCCAATAGGACAACAGTTCTAGGACAATGCAAGCTGAGCACGCACTGTGGGAATGTGACATGGGAAAGTAAGTATGGCAATAAATTCTCAAAGTAGCTCATGAGATAGAGGACATTCTAGAGTTTGAAGCAAGGTGTGGCAATATGCTCCACTGGTTCGAAGGAGCACGTGGCCCAGCCACAAAGTCCAGCTTGGAGGCACACCATATGTCATGGATGACATGGTTGGAAAATGTGAGCCCAATGGGATGAGATTGGTGTTGAGGTCGGAACATTGGTCTAGGAGGCAATGGGCCACAAATGCTGGGCAGTATGGAGAGCAACAAGATTACAAACAATCTAGGAGGTGTGTAACCACCACCACTTCGATGGGTAACAAGCAAGAGTATTTGCTATTGTGGCCACATGGTGGAGATTTACTCTGGCACCTATTCACCTCCACTATGTCATCCTAAAGGAATGGGCAAAGCCTGATCATTTGGGGAAGTGGTGGACCAGATGGCTCCCATGTTTTAGCAGGGTGATTGATGATGAGATCTGTTTGCAGTGGCACCCTTCTAACACTATTCTTTGTTTGGTTTTGGGAGGGGACTTGGACATTGACATAATCTGAAAGATATGACCATGTCCACTTTTACTTCAAGATTAGATCCACTTGAAACATGAGAGTATCATGTAAAGTAGCTTGGTGATAGGGTGGCATGCCCAGTTTTTGTATTAATCCCACTGGGACATTAAGGAATGTACATTCACCAAATCAAGCTTCCTCCACATGGCTAGGGTTTTTGCCCTTTAGAGTATTGGTTTTGTTTTGGGGGATTTTGTTAGATCTTAAGGAGTTAGCTTCAATTTGGTTTTATTTTTGTTGCTTTTGATTAAGTTTATAAATATTACTAACCTAGTGTATTAGCATTGGTTCCAATGGAGAATGGGCCTTATTATTTAGCTTAGCCTATCATCAGCCCCAGGCTCGACGCTACATTTGCATTCCTGTTTTGTCAAAGATGCCCGGGCTGTGCAAGAAAAGTTTGACAGGACTTCTGCCAGCCACTTTACAATAAATGTCGAGTTGATTCCCACAGGCTTGTTTTTGTAATGAAGGCTGAAGCATTGTCCTGGACTGGAAGAATCCATGGGGCATTTGGCCGTCCCTCCGTCTCTCCAATAGCCTTCATGCCCAAGGCCAGCCCAGTCAGCCAGGTGCTTGTAGATGAATTGACCGTTCCCTGCAAGCTGCAACCAGCCCTGGGGAAATGCCTCAAGAATTCTGCTCCCAGGATTCATGAAAATCATGTTGGTGAGCTGAGCACCGTGAACAGATACAAGAATATCGGTTGTGCTCATCAGCTTTACCTGGATCAATGTTAAATATTGAGTCGGTGTCATGGACATATTTTTACCTGGGAGCAGAAATCAAGAGCTGAAAACCAGACGACGGACCACTGGCAATGGGGCCGCACCTCACACACGAGCTTGACGGCATGCTTCCAATCACTCAGGTTGACAAAGGCACGCCCTCGTTCTCGGGCCACAAGCGCGACACGGACGGTCGTGTCGTCATCGTTAACCCCACTGCCTACTCCGCACCATTGTCGGGTCCGGCACCGAACCTGCTCGAACAAGTCCCTCAACACAGCCCCTGAAACGCCCCCAATACCTCTCCTGCTCACAACTGCTCTTTGGAAGCACACCACCCTGCCTTCTGGATGGTACCTCATTGTGTCCACGCCTGTGGTGACACCGTTGGAATCCAAGACGCTCCGGATCCAAGCTCCCAGATCGTGACGTATCTCCCCCCGGTGGAAGATTAACATTCTATCGCTCCGTTGGCAGCGGCTGTCCATCCTCCAGTGGACGAATTGGATGAGGTTATACATAGAATGCCAGGGGTTGGCGAAATCAAAATGAGAATCCGAGACGAGGGTTGTTCCCGGCAGAAGCAGCGCGTCCCCTGGCACATGCTGCTCAGCAAATGCGTACAGGTTCTTGGTGCCATCTCGGGTGCTGTTGCCTCTAAAGCACAAGACTCTGGACGAGGCGGAGGTGTTGAAGTAGAAGAATTCGGGGACCCCTGTCCGATTTGTGTCTTGGATCTGGGACATGAACACGTAGCTGGTACCATTCTTGGAATCCTTGACGGGGTGAAAGCGCAGGGAACGTGCTGCTTTCGACCGCTCACCTCGGAGGAATGTGAAGGCATTGTTTTGGAGAATGGAACTGTGGATCAACACAATCCATGCGAGGACTACCAGTGCAAGTGCCGCTATGGGTGCCAAAGCTCGCCGGCGCACCATCGGTTTCATTCTCCCGGGGGCCTGGAGGCCTTCTCATGCTTGTTCTGTGGCAGAGCGTTATGGCCGGAATCGCGCAAGGGCGCGTTACCTTTCAGTTACTTAACAAATGACAAAATGCCAGATCTTCTGTGCTCGAAACCGGAGCCAAGAAAGAAAAGAGGGTCCGTTTGCAGCTCTCACTTTTTGAAGTATTTCCCAAGCCGCTGCAGGTGATAGTTGATGGTGGTCTTCACTTTGGGCGCCCTGGCCTGTCACAACGAGGAAGGGAAGGCGTGAGGGAGCGGCAATCTAGCTGTAGGTAGCAGCAAAACGAGCACAAGGACGCACCTGGAACTCAACGCAAGCATTCAGGGCTTCTTTCTCCTTGATGCACAGATCGTCGTTGAAATTGGTCCTCTTGAGGCAGGCCAGAAATGCCATCATCTCGTTCATGCACGGCTGTGCCTTGGGCCCGAACATCTTGGGATTTACCTTGAGCATCTCCTTCTTGTGAACCATGGCGACTCCACCGCCTTGCGTCCAGCCCCACAACCCTAGGTACTACTAAAATAAAACTTCGAAATCTTTCTCTCACGTATTTGGTGGTGTGATCTTCCTCATGGAGCTGTGCAAGACCAACACTGCGGCACCGAGGAAACAAAGAGTTTAGAAAAGAGAGAGCTTTTCTCAGCCGAGGACCTCACCTGTAAAGCTTAGAGCTGCTGCGCAGATCAAGGCCAGTGCCACCCTGCAGTACATGAGAAGGAGCATTGTGCCTGACATGGAAGTACGAGTGCTATCGTGAGCAAAGCACAAATCTCTGGCATGAGTGAACGGAGAAGAGAAGCATACCAACATTCCCGAGCGCCACCAGCAAGCGGAACAACACGCCGTGCCTCTGTATCTTGAACGTGTTGATGAGGATCCTCAGCCCATCCCACAGGCCAAACAAGGACACCACGCCCAGCAAAGCCAGAGGCATTTTATACCTGGCTAGGCAGCACAAGAGAGCAATGAGACCTCGGCAGGGAGAAGGGAGATGGGCAAGGCTACTCACAAGACGCAGGCGAAGGTGATCGCGATGAGGACGAGATAGTTGCCCGTGTAGCGCTTCAAATTCTCGTCCATCCTGAACTTGACTTGGGTGACACTCATCGGCCACGAGTAGGTCTCGGCCGGTCCCTTGCCGCAATCCAGAAATTCTGCCGTCCACGGCACCGGCTTCTTACCCAGGTCCTCCACCGTGAGGCTCTCAAAGGGGTTGAGCTTGAGCAGCTTACACAGCGCAACGAACGATCCCTGCCCGGCGATGATGGCGTTGTCCAGCGTACACTTTTCCAGAATCTCCAGAAACCCCTTATCCTTGAGCCAAGCTTCGAAGCTCGACTGGGGGATGCACAGAGACAGCGGATTCACAACGAAGCTCGGCATTGCTTGCTTGCTTTGCCTCTGCCTCTCAGATTAGGGCGAGAAAAGACAACCCTAGGCACGTGGCTGCCACGTGTGAGCCTTCGGCTGAATCTTGGTCAGTTGGTTTCTATGGAGTTGGTTTCGTCTCCTTCCCCGCGTGCCCGGGGAGTGGTGACGATGGGAGACATGGACGTTGACGATCACCAAGACCGCATTCCGGCACACCAGGCGTCCCCCAGGCCCACGGGATTGCAAATGTTATCTCCCAGGCAACAGCAACAGATGATGCAGCAACAGCACGTCGACGATATCACCTCCAACAACTCGAGCGTGGCCGAGGATGCATTCAAGCCCCCACCGGTAGCGCCACCATCGAGCATGATACAGGAGTTGCCACCCCCGCCCACGCCCCAAAGGTTCCCGCCGCCAGTGCCTGACGAGCAGAGGCCTGCTGCTCTCTACGACTTTAGCCCTCCCCCAGCGCCAGAGCGAAGGGGTTCCTCGCAACAGATTGATATGCTGAATTTCTCGAGAGCAGCTCCACAGTATGACCAGGTGCCGGTTATGGACCTCCTACGAAGAGCATCCCAGTTTGATCAGGTGGAGCAAACTCCCGGTGCTGGCAGGCGGGCGTCGTCGCAGTTCCACGACAGTTTTGGAATGCCCGACCAAAGAAGGCCTTCTGCATTGGTTGAAGGGATGCACGACAGGCCCAATCTGCCTCCGGTTCTGACCTCGGTCCCCGTCGCGGACACGGCAATGCACGACCATAGACCGTCCTTGCTCCTACAACAGCCCTACAACCTTCCGCAGTCATCTGCTGCCCCAACTCCAAGATTGTCATCAAACAACTTCGTCCCTGTGAAACGAGGTCTAGATCATCCCACCCAACATGTAAATGCACTAAAAATGTGTGTGCAGCAGACAGTGGTTTTGTTTCGTTGCCAGCACCAATCAGCGAGACTGAACCTTACAGCCCAGTGTCCAGTTCTGGCGACGGTGTTGGCGGGCACATCGACCGTGGTAAGTGTACGTTCTTGTAGCCCGACGCCTACTAGCATTACTTGTTTGTTTCTTTTTCAATTGAACATTGGAGTCTTTGATCAGATGCCATGTTGGCCCGAGCATATCAAGACAAGCAACAGTCGCAGGTCAAGGCTTGGGAACGGCACAGAAACACCAAGAACTACAACAAGTATTGCGTGTATCTTACCTTTAGCTCCAGAGGTTACATTATCCTAACACGATTTTAGATACGAGAGCGAGATTGCGAGGATCACGGCATGGGAGGCTTGCCAAGTAGCGAAGGCCGAAGCCCTCATGAAGAAGAGCGAGGCAAGAAGCCCTGCTTAATCTTTATATGAACCTTAAGGAATTCAACCGTGCTGCAGGAAGAGCTGGAAAAGAAGCGTGCCAAGCTGAGAGAGGGATTTAAGAACGAGATTGCATCCATTCACAGGAGGGCGGACGACTGGAAAGCGATAACCGAGACTCGACGTGTGGAGGAGATACTAAGAACGGAGGAGGGTGCCGCGCGGTTTAGAGCCACGGGAATGCTTCCAAAGAAGCCATTGCTCCATATCCAGTCGCTGCGTGATATGTGTTGTGGCCTCAACTTGCCATACAAGAGGTGATTCATAGCAGTGGCTAGCGATGGTGGTGTTGGCTCCTCCTTCGACACCAGCATACAGATCTTTCGCAAGGGGCGGGCTATCGGCAGAAGGGCAAGAGCATTCCGAAGAGGAGCCGCCCGGCGGGGTATCCAGTGCACCGCAACTGTTACATGAAGAAGAAGAAGACGAAGAGGCACTGGCACGGCTGCTGCGCTCGTGTGGCGATCCGACTCATGGTAAGCGCCTCCATGCACGTATCCTTGCCGGTCCCAAGCACCGCAACAGCGTCTACCTAGCCAACCTCATTGTCCGAATGTATGGGCAATGTGGCCATCTAAGAGATGCTCGAGCAGCATTTGACTCGATCCGGGAGCCGGATGTCTTCTCCTGGAACATCATCATCGCCGCGTATGCCAAGGATTTGCTTGTGGATGAGGCCAAGGCACTCTTTGACAGAATGCCTGCGCCAAGCACAGTCTCGTGGAATACCATGATCACAGTCTGCTCCAAAACAGCACGCCTCAAGGAGGCCAAGCTCTTGTTCGATACGATGCCCAATCGCAACCTCTTATCATGGAACGCAATGCTTTCCGGTTATACCCACGGTGGGTACATGGCGGAGGCCGGATGTATGCTGGAGAGGCTTCCAGAGCACAATGTAGTGTCGTGGAACACGATTGTTGTTGGCTACGCGCGAGTGGGCGATGTGGAGCGAGCGCGATCCGTGTTCGACGCCATGCTCGAGAGGAACATCGTGTCGTGTACGAGCCTGCTACAGGCGTATGCCGCGGTGGGAGATGTGGCGGCAGCGAGGTCCGTGTTCGATGCGATGCCGGAGCGGAATGTGGTGGCTTGCACCGCCATGCTTCAGGCGTATGTGCAATGCGGCGACGCTGCCGGAGCACTGGACGTGTATAACGGCGCCATGCCTGAGCTAAACATGCTGTCCTGGAACGCGCTGCTGGCGTCCCAGGTCCACTCGCACAGCCTGGCGGCCGCAAAGTTGGCATTCGAGGAGAAGATGCCCGAGTGGAATGTGGTATCATGGACGTGCGTGCTGCAGGCTTACACTCGCTGGGGGCAGCTACAAGAGGCGAAGCGCATGTTCGAGTGGATGCCAGAGCGGGACGTGGTGGCGTGGACGGTTATGCTGCTGGGATTTGCCGAGAGCGGGCGGGCTGAGGAGGCGATATGGCTGTTTGCATGCGCTCCCGAGCGGAACCCGGACATGTGGACGGCACTTGCGGCCATGCACTGCAGGAGCGGGGATGCGCGCGAGGCGGAGCGGGTCATGGCGGCGGTGGACGGCGGCATACCCGCCAGGAGCGTCGTGTCGTGGACGGTGATGGTGGAGGCGTATGCGCAGGCCGGGCACATTGGCCTGGCGGCGCAGCTCTTCTCCAGGATGCCCGAGCGCGACACTGTATCGTGGAACGTTATGGTCGTGGCCTATGCCCACTGCGCCCGTGTCAACGCCTCCGTTCACTGCCTCCACATGATGCACGTCCTGGGGCTGCAGCCCAATGGGAGCTCCCTCTTGAGCGTCCTCTGCGCGTGCAACCACATTGGGACCGTGAGCTCCGCGTCCCAGTCCATGGTATCGATGATGCTGGACCACGGCATCACGCCCCAGCCCCATCACATCTCGTGCCTGGTTGACATACTGGGCCGTGCAGGGCAGCTGCGCAACGCCCAGGAGCTTGTGGAGGAGCATGGAGGAGGCCCGGGATGGGAGAGCCTGCTGGGAGCCTGCCAAGTCCATGCTGGCGGCGCCCTTGGCCGCGAAAGCCTGGCCGCCCAGCGTCTCATGATCAACAAGCCAAAGACTGCGTCATGGTTTCGGATGTTGTGTCGCGGAACCAGCTGCTATCAGCCTACTGCCGTGGTGGGCATGTTGGCCAGGCCAAGAGGCTGTTTGATGCAATGCCGCTGGCGGAGCGAGACTTGATATCTTGGACCGTGATGCTTGTTACTTATGCTCGCTGCGGCGACATCGGGCAAGCGCGGCAGGCGTTTGACGAGATGCCTCTGCGCGACCAAGTGTCCTGGAATGCCATGCTCGTGGCCTATGCCGACACTGGGAACCTGTGTCAAGCCAAGCAGCTCTTTGACGAGATGCAGGAGCCCAACCTCGTCGCTTGGAATGCAATGATCACTGCATATGCGGAAAATGGGGACGTTACCAGTGCTCAGCTCCTGTTTGACACCATGCCGCTGAGGGCATTGCCGTCTTGGAATGCTCTAGTGACTGCATATGCGGGAAACGGGCACGTTGGCAACGCCGTCGCCATCTTTAACCAGATGCCCGAGAGAGACTTGATATCCTGGACCGCGGTGCTGTCTGGCTTTTCTAAAGCAGGTCAGCCGGAGATGGTTGAACACATGTTTGAACAGATGCCGCAGCACAATCTCGTGTCCTGGAACGTCATGCTTTCGGCATTTGCCCATGTCCGGGATTTGGAAAGCTCTAAAGTGGTGTATGATAGGATGCCACAGCACGACATGGTATCGCATAACGTTGCTCTGTTCGTGTACGCACACACCGGTTGCCTGCAGCAGGCCAGAGACATTTTCTACTCGATGCCGCAGCACAACCTTGTGACGACCAACTCCATGCTCTCTGCTTGTGCCCACAACGGGCAATCGAATGAAGCGGAGGCTCTCTTCCACAGCATGCCACGGCGGGACGTCGTGTCATGGAATGCCATGCTTGCTATGTACTCCCACAAGCAGGAATTCAGCAGCGTGGAGCGCCTCTACACCAGAATGCCTTGCCACGACTTAGTCTCGTGGAACACAATGCTGGGGGCACAAGCGGAGCAGGGCAAGCTGCACCAAGTGAAGCTGCTGCTCGAAGAGATGCCTCAGCAGAACCTCGTGTCTTGGAACACCTTGCTGTTTGCATACACTCAAACTATGTCCGCGTACTCGACTAGCACAGGGGAATTGCTGGTGCTGCTGGAGCAGACCAAGCACATCTATGATACCATGCCTCAGCGCGATATCATATCGGCAAACTGCATGCTGTCTGCATATGCGCAGGGCGGCCATGACCAAGACGCCAAGCGCCTGTTTGATGCCATGCCCGATCGGGACCTCGTCTCTTGGAATGCTCTCCTGTCCACGTATGGACGATGCGGGCAGCTCCAGGAAGCCCAGATGTGCTTCAGGCGTATGCCATGGCGAAGTGTCCTTTCCTGGACGGTCTTGCTGGTTGCATATGCTCTCAATGGTAACATGGATGTGGCCAAGGAGCTGTTTGATACAATGCCAGATACGGACGTGATCTCGTCGAGTGCCATGCTAGCTGCATACGTCCGAAACGGACATTCGAACTCCGCGTTTGGTTTGTTCAATGAGTTGAAGACGAGAACGCCTCCGGACGAGGCATGCTTTGTCTCGGCTCTCGTTGCTTGCGGCCAGTTAGGCGAGGTGTACATGGGCAGGAGCTGCTTCATCTCCATGAGCATGGACTTCGGCCTTTGCGCCACCAAGCAGCACTACTGCTGCATGGTGGACCTCTTGGGGCGGGCGGGGCATTTGATTCAAGCGGAAGAGCTCATGCACAACATGCCGTTTGTTCCTGACTCGTCCGAGTGCAGGTCATTGCTGGGGGCTAGCAGGAGCAGCCATGAGACATTCGCATTTAGGCATGGCTCGACTGCTCGCGTTGCTAAACGTGCCCTTGAGGACAGCCCCGAGAATGCGGCTTCGTATGCATTGCTGGCCAGCACAGTGCTAGCGTGAACTTAGATTCCTAGCATTCTCCCAGATTTGGTTTCTTTCGTTAGTAAGCTAGCTACTTAGTAGCGTTAGCTCTAATACTCTTCACCTTCGTCCTCGCCTTCGCCTTCAGTGGAGTCGGCGCCAACTTCTTCGTAGTCCTTCTCCAGAGCTGCCAAGTCTTCACGAGCTTCCGAGAACTCTCCTTCCTCCATCCCCTCACCGACGTACCAGTGGACGAAGGCACGCTTGGCATACATGAGGTCGAACTTGTGGTCGATCCTGGAGAAGACTTCGGCGACACTCGTGGAGTTGGAGATCATGCACACGGCTCGCTGGACCTTGGCAAGGTCACCGCCAGGAACCACAGTCGGAGGCTGATAGTTGATTCCGCACTTGAATCCGGTGGGGCACCAGTCGACGAACTGGATGGTTCTCTTGGTCTTGATGGTTCCCACGGCCGAGTTGACGTCCTTGGGCACAACGTCTCCTCTGTACATGAGGCAGCACGCCATGTACTTGCCGTGTCGCGGATCGCACTTGGCCATCATGGATGCAGGCTCGAATGCGGTGGAGGTGATCTCGGACACGGACAGCTGCTCATGGTACGCTTTTTCTGCCGAGATGACCGGGGCATACGAAGAAAGCATGAAGTGGATACGCGGGTACGGCACCAAGTTTGTCTGGAACTCGGTGAGGTCGACGTTGAGAGCACCGTCGAAACGGAGTGAAGCCGTGAGGGACGAGATGATCTGCGGCACACGAAACCAAGAAGAAGAACGCGGTCATAATGAAAGGGGGATGAAATACCTGGGACACAAGCCTGTTGAGGTTGGTGTAGGTAGGCCTCTCGATGTCGAGCGATCGCCGGCAAATGTCGTAGATGGCTTCGTTGTCGAGAATGGCAGCAACGTCGGTGTGCTCGAGCAGGGAGTGCGTGGAAAGGACGCTGTTGTATGGTTCTACAACGGCAGTGGAGACTTGTGGAGACGGGTAGACCGTGAAGCCGAGCTTGGACTTCTTGCCGTAGTCGACGGACAGGCGCTCCAGGAGAAGAGAGCCGAGGCCGGAACCGGTGCCACCTCCAACGGCATTGAAGACAAGGAATCCCTGGAGACCAGTGCAGTTGTCAGCCAGTTTGCGGACACGGTCCAGGCACAGGTCCACGATTTCCTTTCCAACTGCAAGAGAGTATCGTGTTGAGGTGTAGATATAATCAAGATGGCATGTAACCGCGGCAACTTACTGGTGTAATGCCCGCGGGCGAAGTTGTTTGCGGCGTCTTCCTTTCCGCTGATAAGCTGCTCCGGATGGAAGAGCTGGCGATAAGTTCCGGTCCTCACTTCGTCGATGACGGTCGGTTCCAGGTCCAGGAACACGGACCGGGGGACGTGCTTGCCGGCTCCAGTCTCGCTGAAGAAGGTGTTGAAGGCATCGTCACCGCCCCCGACAGTCTTATCGCTGGGCATCTGTCCATCAGGCTGCGTTTGCAAAGGCAATTTCAACAAGGATTAGAACGAGTTGGTCGCCATCAGCATGGTTTGTGTCGTATATACTTGAATGCCGTGCTCCAGGCAGTAGAGCTCCCAGCAGGCATTGCCAACTTGAATCCCGGCCTGGCCAATGTGGATCGAGATGCACTCTCTCATCTTGCCCGCTGCTACGAGTTTGCTGAGAGCTGCGAGGACTTCAGCAAAAAAGCGGGTGGAGGCGGAGAAGGTGGTGAGGGCTTTTATATACGACTACGCCGGAAATCCCGGTCAGCCGACTTGCCGGCCGTTAGCTAACTAACTCACGGACGGAATATACCCGGGGTGACCCTTGCTATCTTCTTTCCGTACGGAATAAACCCATTAATCATCCTGCATGGAAATCTAATGTACAGGTTGGTTTTTTGAGATTGGAAGGAATGATGAATCTTTCGTCGTCTAGGCTAGCTCCTCACTTCCGGGTAGCTGTTTAGTGATGCATCGCGGGCTGCGGCATGGGGTATGCCATATGAGGATGAGCAACATTGAGAGGAGTACCTGGAACCGGCCTGCTCGATACGTGACCTCTTCCTGCTGCCACTGCGTAAGCTCCGTGGTGAACAACCGGGACCGGAGTTCCAACCGCAGGAGGCTGCGAGTAAGCACCAGGCGCTGTTGCCGCCCCCGTCGACGCGGAGGAGGATGCTCCCCCACCACCACCACCGCCTCCGCCGCCTCCACCACCTCCCGCTGCTCCCTGCCCTGTTATCGGGCCCTGCGCTTGCTGCCTTCCGTCACCATTGACGCTGGTGATATCATGGATGCTCGTCCGCCGCTTGTCCTTGTGGATGGAGTTGAGGCGAATGAAATACTTTTGAGCGTGGCTGGCCACCTGTGTGGGTGTTCGTGACACCACAAAGTTCCTCGAGATACTCCGCCAGTCCCCTTTGCCGAACTTCTCCAGTCCCAGCAAGAAGAGCCTAGGTAGGAGGAGGTGTGATAGCAAACACGTCAGTAAGCTTTGCATGGACGAGAGAAAAGGGAGAGAGGGAGAGAGGTGACAAGAATCGCACCTGTGCTCGTCTTCGGTCCATGGGATGCCTTTCCTGCGCTCCTGATCCTGGGCCTTGCTCTTGGAGGAGGAACCAGCACTGGCATGGTTGTTGGAGTTGGAATTGGAAGCGTTGTTGACAGCCGGGGTGGCGCTAGAGGAGCTCCCATTGGCAGCGGCATGGTGGTGGTGGCCGTGGTGCTGCTGGTGATGGTGGAGATAGACAGGAGACGAGCAAGAGGAGGAAGGCAGCCCGAGCTTCTTGTCCAGGGCCAAGCTGCTGTCCTTGACGAGCAGCGCATCCCTGGGACTGTAGCACGGCAGCGCAATCAGCCCGGCCTCAATGCTCGAGATGTCGCGCAGCAGCAGCTCGTAGTGAGCCCGGACGTCGGCGGCGGTCTTTCCAGGCACCAACGCAGCCACTGCCTCCCACCGGCTGCCCGCCACACCCTCGGGATCATCACACTTGTCCTCCCACCCGGCAAGAGCTTTCTCAAACAGCTTGTCCTGCTCGCTGCTCCACTTGGCGGCGCTGGGCGAGGTACAAGAGTTGGCTGCGCTACTGGAGGCGGCGGAGGCAGCCGCTGCCATCCACGCTGCTGCTACTGTCACAAACAACCTCTGCGTGCCTTGTTTAGCTACCTCCCTGCCCCAATTCCCTGGATACCAAGCCTTTCCATGGCTTGCCCCGGCCTCCGCCACTCGAGCACCCGGCCAAGCAGCGAATGAGGAACCCTAAGGGCTTCAGATCTGCTGCCATTGCCTTCCTCCTCTCTCGTCTGGCTGGCTTGTCTGGCTTGGCTGGAAGACAAATTGGAGCTCGCTCGCTCACCCTTAAGCTCTACACTTGATTTGCAGGGCCTGGCCTGGGTCACGATGGAGACGGCGGACGAAAGTGACCACACACCATCTTCATCTTGGCCCGGGCGAAATAAAGAACAGGGTAAAAGAGAAAGATCCAATTAACGGCCACGATGCTGCCAGCGTGGCGTTGAGGATAAGGTTTGCCGTGCCACGTCACGAAATGACGCCGCTGGACAACACGTCACACGGATTTGCGCAAAACCCACCGTTAAATTAACTCCGAACTTAACTAAGCAACATCAACAAGCTCGATTTCAAAAACCAACCATGAGTTTGGTGGGATTGATCCGACAGCCCTCGCACCATACCTGCGCCGAGAAATTTAGCAAAACCATGACATCGTGATTCACTCACCCCATGGATGGAGGAATCACAACTCTCCTCTTGTCTCCTACTCTCATTCCTGCAAGAAAGAATCGAGGATTTGTATGAAAAGACGAAGGGAGAGAGAGCTCACGCATCTTACCATTGACACCCACGTCGAAGCCCTTGACTACTTCGTTAACCCCTGCAAGAACCAAGTGCCACAAGTTAGATCTCTTTTCTCGGCCACAAAGGAGGAAAAGAGCAAGCATCGGCAGCCAGCACAAGCAAGACGCTAACCCAATCTGAAACGGAATGGCTTTCTGCCTATGGTGCTGTCAAATATCTTCCCATTCGACTTAAGCTTTCCGACGTAGTTAATCAGGACCTGCACCAAGACTCAGGGACCAATCGTGCAAGTATGCGAAAGGAATGCGACCGGCGTCACCGCTTTACCTTCTTCCCCGGCTTGGCTTGCTTGCCGTCGGGCTTGCCAAGTGCCAAGTCCTGAACTTCGAGGCCATTCGGGAACTTCTTGGCCGCCTTGTCCTTCTTTCCAGCCTTCTTCTCCTGGAGCTTGCCGTCGCCATTCCCTTCCGGCACACCCTCCTCCTGGTTTGCTGCCTTTTTGCCCTTCTTCTTCTTGTTCTTCTTTGCTTCGCCAGGGCTGGTTGGCGTGTCACTGCAAAGAGCATTAGCTCCAGTTGTTATTGCTAATGAAACCTTGGTGTACCTGACAGACGTCTTGGCGCTTTTCTTCGGCAACTCGGCAGAAGCGGCTTTCCTCTTGGACGGCAAGGCGAAGCCATCCTCGTCTTCACTCTTGTCCTCCTCATCCTCCTCCTCCTTGTCGTCCTTCTGATCCTGAGCCGGCTGTGTTTCAGTGTTTGCTTTAGCCGGAGCAGGAAGCGCCTTTTCAGGCTCGTCGTCGTTAGTGATCTCCTCAATCTTCACTGCCAAGTCGAACGCCATCATACCACGACTTGCTGATGAATTACGAAGAGAGCTCACCTCCGGATCCAAGGCGCTCCTCTTCTAGGTCCTCGTCGTCCTCCTCGTCATCGTCTTCCTCTCCAGCTGGATCGACAATGAAGCTGATATTGACAAAAGATCAACGAGTAAACGCCCGTGGAGACTGGAGACAAGAGAAAAGGATACATACTCTTGATCAAACTCGTCTTCTTCACCATCGTAGCTCTCGTCGTCGTCTTCGTCACTGAAGGGTTCCATGTAGTAGCCAGAGAGATGGATGGCTGTAGAGCCCGTCACGGAGAAGACAACGTCGTCCTCGAAGTTGAGGTCGAGATAGCACGTCTCGTGAAGTCCAGGCTTGAGCGAGCACACAAAGACCGGCGGCCCCTCTCCACCCTTGCACTTGAGAATACTCCTCTCACCATCCTTGGCATTTTGGCCCAGAGTCGCCTAGACAAAACGAAAAGCTTTGAGCCTCTGTTGGCGATGGAATCGATCGATTCGGCCACCCACCTGAGAGATATGCAGCCGCCGGCCTTCGAGCTCGTCGCGCTCGACGAGAAAAGGCTTCTTCGGCTTGAGCTTCGCACCTGGGAGCGATGGAAAAACGTCACGGCAGGCCAAGGGAGGCGAAGCGGCTTACCCCAGAACACCATTTCGTCGCCGCAGCCCACAAACCCTAAACCCTTGGGGCGATCTCGACTGTCGGTTATTTAGATAGATCGCTAATGTAAATATCTTCCCCATGGATGGATTAGGTCATCGATCGAGCAATGCATGGCGCAGCGCCACGGCTCAAGGATCACCACCACGCCTCTGCTCGCTACGCCGCTCACCAGGGCGACAGGAAGGTCCAGTGCGTTGTGGCAATAGAGGAGCGTGACAGCAAGAGCAGGCTGATGCTGGGTGCTTCCTCCTCCTCGTCGCTCTTGTGCCTTGGTATCAACACGCGCTTCTTCACCGCCAACAAGCTCATCTCCTCATCGCATTCTCGAGCTGGCCATGGGCGGCGGAGCGGCGCCATGCTGATGCTGGCCCAAACCCCGCCGCCGCCATCGCCGCCCCCGCATTCCTCGTTCCTGCCACAGCAGCCGCGCTTCCACTCGAGCTCATGCGTTCTGGCCAGTCACGGCGAGCTGGGCGCTGCAACCATTTGGCACGCTCTCCTGCCTAGCAGCTCCACCTCCAGCTCCAGCCCGTATCGCCTCTCCGCCGCCACAGCTTTCAGCAATGGATCGTGGAATGTGGCAGGGGATGCACGCCCGGCACGCTGGCTCCAAGGGAGGCACTCGGCGTGGCTCCTGTTTGGCTTTTGTTCGTGCTTCTCCGCCGCGGTAGCGTCCAGCATGAGGTCCATAGCATGCTGCGAGGCTCCCTCCTCTCTCGATCAATCCCTCACCCACGGCAAAAAGGTTCACAAGGAGTTTGCGGTCATAGGTACGTTGCCCGCGCAACCAGTATGTATAAGGTAGCTCAAGAGGTGACGCTGGTGGTGGTGGTGTCAAGGCATTCCTGGAGATGGACGCTGTCTTTTTCGTGCTGTGGCTCACGGTTTGTGCACCAAACAGGGCAAGCCAACGTCAGACGAGGAAACGCAGAGAGAACTTGCGGACGATTTGCGGGAAAAGGTTTGGCATTGTACTTGGTTCGTTTGTCTGACTTGCTTTGGTTGATCCCTGCGCCTCGGAAGGTTGTGGATGAACTCGTCAAGCGCCGTGCGGAGTCGGAATGGTAAGATGGGAGACCGACATTCATTCTCATCCCACTTGAAAAGCAGGTTCATTGAAGGCGATTTCGACGAGTACACAAGACGGATGAGGCAAGCAAACGTGTGGGGCGGCGAGCCGGAGCTCCTCATGCTATCGCATGTCCTCGGGTAACAAGCTATCTTTCTTTCATTGGGCTCACTTATGTTTGGATCCAGGTTGCCGATCACAGTTTACATGGCCGATGAACGCTCGAACGGTGTCATAGCGATTGCAGAGTACGGGCAAGAATACGGGAAAGGCAAAGGAAATCCCATCAGAGTGTTGTACCATGGGTTTGGACACTACGATGCTCTCCTGATGCCGGGCGACGCTGGTCAGGGCGGTGAGTAACGCAGCAGGGTGGAAGCGATACCACAAAAAGTTTGGTTTTGAAGATATCTTTGTCCAGAGGTCCAGTAATCTGGACTGAGAAACAAGCAAACCAGTCGAGAGCTTAGAGAGGCTGAGATAGCTGAGCTTGCTCCTCGGCCTGAGGAACTAAAAACTTTGATGACAAAGGAGCTGCGTCCTCACAATTAACTTGTCTCACCCGTCATACGCACAAGTCAGTCACCGGAGATCAATCGACCACGATCCAAGTGACCGTTTCCACAGGTACGTCGTGTTTGATTCGCGGCATATTTTAGAAGCTAAACAAATGGCATGGCGAATTGTTTATGGACAGTTTGAAAGGCTATACTGTTCGCTCACTGCTATGCGCCTAGTGTGGAGTGTGTGTGACTTTCTAAAAAAATAACAGTGTAAGCTTCGAAAACATCTTCTCCATTCGCAGGCAATCACTGCGAGTGGAGATCCTACCCATAAAAACAAGAAAGAAAATCGAAGCCTGCAAAGCTTTGTCTTGTCCTGGCAATGGCACCAACGGCCGGGATGGAGGCGGGGGATTCAACGGTGGGGATGGAGCGCTGTCTTGCTCGGTCATGGCGCCCGACACACAACTCACATACAGCTCTGCGTTGTTTCCACTTTGGCTTCGCGGGCCTTTTGGGCTTTTTGGCATCGCCCCCTTGATTCCGGTTGCGCAGTTGCAGCTGCCCATAAAAGAGTTTGGTGCGTGCGACGGAAAGTTGGAAAGCAATGTCCGCTCTTCTAATCCTCCTGGGATCCATCTCATTGCTATCTGGACAAATTTACCCCGAGATCCATCCATCCTCGTGGATAGCTAAGCAGTAATGTGGGGATGGAGGAGCAACAGCACCCGCCACCAGGCCTTTCAGGCCTCTCAGGTTTGTTGTCGAGGCAATGTGCGCACTACCCCGTAGGTCCCGGAGGAGCTAGCACAACGTAGATAGCGTTGGATGATTTGCTCGGCGATGGTGGCGGTGTGGTGGCTGGCAGCAGCAGCGGTGCTGGTGCTGCTGGTAGAGCACGCACTGGCCCTGAATTCGGACGGGTTGAGCCTGGTGGCATTCAAGCGCGGCATCTTCAGCGACCCCGAGAGAGCGCTGTCGGACTGGGACGAGTCGGACGCCACCCCGTGCCGGTGGAGCGGCATTAGCTGCACCAGCATTCGTGGCGAGTCGGAGCCGCGCGTGCAGGGCGTCATGCTGGCCAAGAAGCAGCTGGTGGGATCCATGTCGCCCGACCTGGGCTCGCTCTCCTACCTCGAGCACCTCAACCTCCGCCAGAACCAGCTCATTGGGGGTCTCCCGCCCGCGCTCTTCAACGCCTCGGCCCTCCAGACGCTCCTCCTCTCCGACAATGATCTCTCGGGGCCCCTGCCCGCCTCCATGTGCGGCACCGCCGCCAGCCTCGACACGCTCGATCTGTCGGGCAACGGCTTCTCGGCCACCATACCCGACTCCATCGCCTCGTGCACCGCCCTCCACTCGCTCGTCCTCAGCGGCAACCGCCTCACGGGTGGCATTCCTCTGGGGCTGTCCCGGGCGCCACTCCTCCGCCTGGATCTCTCCAGCAACCGGCTGACGGGCGCCATCCCCGACGACCTTGGCGGCTTGCTCCAGCTCCAAGGCACGCTCAACCTCTCGGACAACAACCTCTCGGGCCCGATCCCGCCATCGCTGGGCAGGCTCCCGATCTCTCTCAGCATAGATCTCAGCTTCAACAATCTGTCGGGTCCCATTCCACTCAACGGCACGCTGTCCAACCAAGGACCCACTGCCTTCCTCGGCAACCCGGGCCTCTGTGGGCTCCCGCTCAAGACCAAGTGCGACGACGCCGCCACCACCCCGCACGGCGTGTTTGGAGGTGGAGGTCCATCGGGCTCTGGCCCGCCTAGCACGAGTGCGGGCACGAGCACGAACACCAACACGAGCACGGCCTCCACCCGCAACAGTGGTGGCCGGCTTGGCACCAAGCAGGTTGTAGCCATCGCTGTGGGCGACTCAGTGGGCATCTTGGTCATTGCTTGCGCTCTCACGTACTGCCTCTACTGTAGGAGGAATGGCAAGGGGTCCAAGACATCCAGCTGCAACAGCATCGGTCATCGATGCTGGCCATGCTGCTCCTGCTGCTGCTGTGCCAGCGCTAGAGGTGACAGGTCGGAGTCGGAGGACACGGACAATGAGGAAGGTGGCGGCAACAACGCCAGCATGCACAAGCATCGCGTGGTCGGCAGCGAGAGTGGCGAGCTGGTGCACTTCGACCAGGAGTCCGAGAAGCAGTTCGATCTGGATGCGCTCCTGCGCGCGTCTGCCTACGTGCTTGGCAAGGGCAGCTCCGGCATTGTGTACAAGGCCGTCATGGATGGCGGCCTCACGGTGGTGGTCCGAAGGCTGGGAGCGGAGGGAGAATTTGGAGCGGGCGTGGATGCCACCACCAGCAACCCCGCCTCTAAGAAGGTGGTCAAGGAGTTTGAGTCGGAGGTGAAAGCAATCGGCTCCCTGTGCCACCCCAACGTCGTTGCATTGCGAGCCTACTACTGGGGAATGAACGAGAAGCTGCTCGTCTACGACTTCATGCCCAATGGGAGCTTGGCAGCCGCCATGGAGCAGCACCAACAGCACTGGATCCGCTTGCAAGACAGCACCCAGCACCAGCAGCAACAAGGTACGAAGATGATGATTTGGATTTGTTCCCTCACTCACTCCTGCACACACGCACAGCAGCGATCTCGGCAGCGGACGACGAGTGGCTTCTGTCGTGGCCGCAGAGGCTGAGCATCGCCAAGGACGTAGCTCGCGGCCTGTCCTTCCTCCACGACGGCACGGCAGCACGCATGAGAAACATCCACGGTAATCTCAAGCCGTCCAACATACTGCTGGATGCCAACCGCGCGGCCCGCATTGCCGACTTCGGTGTCGTGCGGCTCACCGAGATCCTGGCCTGCCACGACACTCTCTCCTCCTCCACGTCCTCCCTGCGCTCGGACGTGGCGCCTGGCAACAGGTCCTCCAGGTCCAACGTGGACGTCCCCACCGCCGTGGACCAGCACCTGGACGTGGGTCCATCCTGCGGCGGTAGCAGCTCCAGCCTGAGCTTGTACTCGGCCACCGCGTCCATCTACCGGCCACCCGAGGCGGCGCATCCCAACTCCCGGCCCACGCACAAGTGGGACGTCTACTCGTTCGGTGTGATCGTCATGGAGATGTTAACCGGCTCGGCATCTGCGCACCTGGCCTCTTCGGACGTGGACATGGTGCTGGCCGTGAGGAGGATGCTGCTGTCTTCCTCCTCCAAATACTCCGTTGCAAGCTTCGATGGGGATCCGCTCTTGAAGCCACCTGCTGCTCCGCACGGTGGTGTCGATTCATCAAACAGTGCGAGCAGTACGAGCAGCAGTAATGCCAATGCCACAGGGAGCAGCAGTAGCAGCAACAACATGACAACGACGATGCTCATGGCTGGCATCCGTGCCGAAGCGGAGGCCATGGAGCTACTGCAGCTGGCTCTGCGCTGCGTCTCTTCGTCTCCAGAGCAGCGGCCCAAGATGAAGCATGTCGTCGAGTCCCTGTCCAAAGTTGGTACCACCTGATGGTGATCAAATTCAATTCCCCCTCGAGCGGGGCCGGCCACCTCAGCCGGATGCATACGTGTTCGCCATGAGCACGTAAGCTGCGCTATCACGGTCGTCCAGTTTCTGTATCGCCTCGAACGCCACCTTTGCTGCCTCAACATTCTTCCACCTCTGGCACGACGCCAGCAGACTCTTCCACACGCTCAATCCCTTCACCGGCATCTCCATTGCCAACGCAGCCGCTTCCTCTAGGCGATTAGAACGCCCCAGCAAGTCCACCATGCAGCTGTAGTGCTCGTACCAGGGAGCAATGCTGAAGCGCGGGGAGGCCATGAGTTGGAAGTAGTGCTTCCCCTGGTCGACCAGGCCCGCGCGCCCGCATGCCGTGAGGAGCGACAGGAAGGTGAAACCGTCCACCTGCAAGCGTCGCTCCAGCATATCGTCAAAGAGGCCAAACACGCGCTGTGCGTCTCCCTGGTGGCTGTAACCCGTCATGAGTGAGTTCCATGCCACAGACTCCTTGGCAAGGAATGCAGCCGAGGAGTCGAATATGTGTTGGGCGTCCACCATGCTCCCGCACTTGCCAAAGAAACTGATTAGAGAGCTTGCTACCAGGACGTTCTTCTCCTCCATCAGTCCGGAACCGCGCACCTCGTCGGAAATCGTCCGTCCGGCCTCCAAGTCCCCTTTGCTGCCACAGGCTTGGAGTGCTCCAGCGTAAGTCAGAGCATCCGGTCTAACCCCTTGGCGTTTCATGCGTGAGAAGAGCTGCATCGCGCAGTCAGGCTCGCCGTTATGAGCACAGCCAAGAATGATGGCATTCCAGGTAACAAGGTTGACGTTGCGCTCGGGCATCCGGTCGAAAACCTCCAGTGCCTCTCGTGTGCTCCCACATTTGCTATACGCATCGATGAGGCTACTTCCCAAAAATGCATCAAGCTCAGGTCCATTGTCAACAAGCTGCGAGTGGAGACCCCTGACCTCCTCCAAGTAGCATGCTTTTACGTCCTCTCCGCCACCAGGACCTGCTTTAGAAGCTCCACATGAGCAAGCACTTAGCGCAGCCATGAAAGTCCTGGAACTCGGTGTAAAGCCTTCGTCTTGCATGCGTCTAAACAAACTCAAAGCCTCTCCTCCATCACCGGCTTGAGCATAGCCAGATATCATCGCGTTCCAGCACGACACGTCACGGACTTGCAGCTTGTCAAAGACCTCCCGACCATCTGCTATGCTTCCACACTTCGCAAAGAAACCAACCATACTGCTCCCGAGAGTGCCATCGTTGTCTAACCCGGCGCTGCGGATCTCGGTCTGGATGCCTCTGCCGCGTTCCAAATCCCCGATGCTTCCACAGGCCTTGAGAACGGCAGCAAAAGTTCGAGCGTTTGGTAAAACACCCTCCGCTTTCATGCGTGCAAACGCGTCGAGCGCGGAGCGTGCGTCACCATTGTCAACATATCCCAGGACGAGCGCATTCCACGATCCGATGTCCCGGTGCTGCCGCGGCATTGCTTCAAACACCTGCCGAGCCTCGTCAAAAGCACCACACCTTGCATAGGCGTCGATCAGAGTGCTGCCTAGGAGGCCCGCTCCCTCCGTGCTCTTTGAAAGCCGAGAGTGAATGTCCCTTACTCGTTTCAAAAGCTCTGGCTTGGAACGCCCGCTTGAGTTTGCACACCCGTTGAGCACAGCGGCAAAAGTTCCAGAGCCGGGTAAGTATCCTTCGTCTTGCATGCGCTGAAACAAAATATGAGATGCGTCACCGTGTCCACAAGAAGCACAGCCTTGGATCATGGCGTTCCACAACACTTGATCGTGCGAAGGCATGCTGTCGAATACTTGAAACGCATCGTCGAGCCTGCCGCATGCCGAGTACATCTCCAAGAGAGTGCTCGCAACGTACACGTCCGCCTCCACCCCTCTCCTGACAAGCTGGGAGTGAATACCCCTTCGCTTGTCTACGCTTCCAGCTTTGTGTTCTTCACAGGCGCAGGCCTTGAGCACAGCAACGAACGTCCGGGCATCTGGCTCGCAGCTCTCCTCTTTCATTGCCGAAAAGGCTTCAAGGCACTTGTCGCCATGTCCGTTCCGAGAGTAAGCCATAAGCATGCTGTTCCAAAGAACCGTGTCCCGGTGCACCACCTTGTCAAAGACGGAGCGAGCATCCGTGAGTGCTCCACACTTCGAATACATGTCCACCAAACTGTTCGCTACAAACACATCCAGAACGTGGCCACTCTCTACAATGCGGGCGTGTAGAGCTCGCCCCTTTTCGAGAGCAGCCGTCTTGACAAGCCTGGCGTTGCCACCTCCGCCGTCAAGCTGATAGCATCCTTGCTCCGTGGTAGCAAGGGAAATGCAAGCTCCCAGGGCCGCCACAAACGTAGCAGCATTTGCCTGGACGCCTCCACAGCGTTGCATGCGTTCCACCATCTCCAACGCGGTGTGCCAGTCGCTAGCCTCGTCGCTGCGTGCGTACGCCCCGATCATGGCATTCCATAGAACCACATCACGATTTACCGTTCTCTCAAAGATCCTGCGCGCTTCCGCCAACTCGCCACCTCTCGAGAACAAATCCACCAGCGCGCTTGCAACAAACACGTCTGCCTCGAGCCCGGACTTTGAAACAAGGGAATGGACAGCTCTCCCATGCTCCATCGCCATCATCTTCTTCTGCCCCTTGCTCGTATCCTCGAGCAGGAGAGCAGTGCAAGCCTTGAGAGCAGCCAGGAGAGTCCGAGCGTCGGGCAAGAAGCCTTGGTTTCGCATCTGGCCAAACAGTCGCAGAGCAACGTGCGCTTGGCCGCCGCGAGCACAGCCCATGATGAGAGAATTCCACGACACAACGCTGCGCTGCCGCATCCTCTCAAACGTTTGGCGTGCCAATGCCAAGCTGCCACACTTGGCGTACATGTCCACCACACTGTTTGCCACCACCAGGCCCATGCCGCCCTCCTCCTCGCTGCCCCGCTCCTCCACCACCGAGCCATGGATTCTCATTCCGCTTGTCAGGTCTCCCCGCCGCCCGCATTCTTGGAGCGCCGCCACAACCACTGACTCGCTTGGCGTCGCGCCCTGCGCCCGGATCTGCTCGTACACTTGCAACGCATTGGCAGCGACGGACGTCCCCGCTCTCCCCCCTCGGCCCCTCATCTTCGCACACCATACCTTCGTCTTCCTGGTCCACTCAGCCCTAACTTGGCAGCGCGTTGGTGGAATTGAATTGTGGTACCTTTGCTGGAAATTTGTTGTTATAATAAACAAAAAATGTGTGAAAAATGACACGAAGACGAATCCTGATTGAGGATGCTCAGTCCATTTTTAGCTCACCAAATCGAAAACAAATTTTCTACCGTTTCTCAACACATACACCATATCTATAATCCAATAGTAATAAAATGCACCCTCTTGTTCATTATCATGCTCATCCTTGTAAGCTCAAGCTTCCCCGTACAGATCTATATGATTCTCACCTCGGAAACAAATTCCAGGCAATGTCTACATCCTCGTAGTATCCAGATTGGTAATCACAGTTGATAATGCCACTCTCATAGCAGAGAAGTCCTCATGTTTGTCCCATGTCTTCCTCACAATCTTATGGTTTGAATACCAAAACTTCTCTTCATGCTCAAGAGGCTCCCGGGGCGATAAAGCCAAACAATATATCTTCGAAGTCGCTGGAGGCACTTTGATCAAAAGGTCGTGACCATGGTAGTAACTCGCAACCCTGAGGGAATGAGAATCCCGTACTCCAACCTTGATTGCGTGTTGCCAGCAAATATAACCCCTGAGATCTGGAATGTATGCAGAGCTATATGAATCTGCAGCTCTTCTCTCTAAAAATGTTGTCACTACATTTATAATTTGATTCCCGACCACCATAACCATGCTTGCAGACAAGGCCACCCTTAAAGGCAGCAACATTGGACAAATTTCCAAATTGAAATCCCATGGCAACCTCGGCAAAATAGTTCTCCGCTTTAGATTTCAGATTCGAAATTTGGGAAGATGCAGTCAATTGTGTCGATCACGAACTAACTTGCGAGGCTAAAAGACCTTGAATACGTCCGGCACGACTGTGGGTGAAGTAATACATACCACTTTTTTTTATGGTCTCCTTGTTATGCAAGTTTCGGAACCGGCGTCACTTTCTTTGGTGGTGGGTTGCCGCCGGCAAGAAAAACATAGCAGAAAAACCCGAGCATAGCTCCGCTACATGAACAACATCTCAGTTAGAAAAACAATCCAGGCCTATGGTAGGAGACTCACCTCACGAGTGAAGCCAGCATTGGCAGTAGAGACACTCTCTGGCGTGCTTTCCCAAGCTGCACGAGAAAAATCACAAACGCTATGGCTGCCAGGGAAAGAAGTCAGCCATGCCACCAGGAGGGCAATGGAAATGGAGCGCTAACCTGCCTGGCCCTGAACGTAAGACATGGAGGACTTTCCCTTCTTCCAGGCGTTTAAGCTGGAGACGCTGAGCATCAAGAGAAGACCGCCCAAGACGAGGCCGACTTGTATAGCCCAAGCGCTGCCAGTGAGTATGAACGAGGCGACACCACTCGCAACAAGGACTCCTCCTGCGGATCAAAGAGCAAAGCTTATATATAAGAGAAAAGACGCTTATAAGAGGGAAATAGAAATAAGCTATCACCCACACCATATGGGATGCCCAGGCAAAAGTCGTGGAGCTTGGCCCCCTTGGAGTGTTTCTCGTTGCCCGCCGCGTCCAGGATGTCTTTGACGCGATGGAGGCTGTGATCCACGGCCTGCTCATCCTCCTCCTCGCCCAGCAACGCCGCAGTCACACCAAAATCCCCTTGATCTTCGGTCAAGACACTAGGGTCTACAGAGTCGATCCGGCCAGAATGATCGTCCAATTCGTCCCCGGATCCTGATCCTGAGGCCTTGGAGGATGCCAAGTCATATGGGGATGGATGAAGGCTCGCTCATTCTTTTCTTAGACTTACCATGTCCGAGTCGTGATCCAGGGAAAAGCGCGAGAATTGGGAGCTCCATCGAAATGTAGTGGAACAAGGGCGCAGCTGGAGCTTGCGGAGAGGGATGGAGCGCGATCGAGAGATGGATCGAGTATAGCCGAGCCCTACCGGCAGTGGCCTCAGTCCAAGTGCCTCCATTCCGGGAATCGAATGAATCGACGGCCGCGATTTGCTGGATTAAAGCGCTGGGTATATTCTTTGGCATACAACGGCTCATTTCTTACTAGGGCTAGGGTTTAAGGCACGGCGCGGCTATGGAGTTTTGGGGTAAGCGCGAGCGCTGCTAGAGAAGGCGAAGGCGAAAAAGCTTAATCCTTTTCTTGTTGCAGGCGTCAAGGTCTTACCATCCAAGTCTATCAAGTGCCCAGTGGAGGATTCGAGCTATTTGCACATCTCGAATGTAAGCCAAGATCAAGCTGGACGAAACCCCGTGTAACGTGTTTGTTTTGCAGGCTGCTTTGGGCGAGGTGGGATCATCCGCCAAGAATGAACGCGTGATCTTGCGACTTAAGACGCAAGGCGAGGAGATTGTTTTGGGCACGCTCATACCCGGCCAACGCGATCATATTGCGCTAGACTTGATCATTAGCAAGTCTTTCCAGCTCTCGCACAACAGCAGTACGCTGGCTGTGCACTTCTCGGGCTACAGAACGGAAGGGTCGGGTAAGAGAACGTTTTTTTCGCCCTGACCAGCGGACGCACTTACATCTGGAATGTTTACAGGCGAGCTTCAGGAGCTGGATAGGGAACATGACCGTGGTGTCCGGAAGGAAAACGGTGTGTTATCTTGTTTAACTACCATCTGCTCTTCTCATGCGCTTGGTTCTTGCACAGGAAATGTCAAAGTTCCGTTAGGCTCGAGCGATAGCGAGAGCGACAGCGATGACGATGATGACGACGACGACGACGACGACGACGACGACGATGATGATGAGGACGACGATGAGGTCAACGCGAAGGATCTTGCCTTGCGGCAAGCGATGGTGCGTTCCTTAGGTTCGTAACTTTTTTAAGCGGAAAAAAAGTTCTTGCAGATGGAAAGTGATGACGACGACGACGACGACGACATTGATGAGGACGACGATGATGACGACGACGACGATGACGATGATGACGACGATGAGGAAATTGATGAGGAGGATCTTAGAGCTCGCCTGGTACGCAAAGTCTCACATGTTAAAAACGTGTAGCCTACAATGTTATTTGCAGATGGGAAAGAAGAGAGCTCCGGCAGCTCTTACGCCACCGGCTCAAAAGAAGATCAAAACGCCATCAGGGAAAACGCCAACAGCACCAAAGTCAGGTAAGAAAGATTTACCAGCCGCTGAGGCTGTGGCAAAGACTCCAAAGTCCTCGGGCAAAAAGGAGAAGGACAAGAAAAAGGAAAAGGCGACTCCTGCTACTCCTAATTCGGAGACGAAGAAGGTGAAGTAAAGCTTATCGTTTATATTTCGGCCTAACGTTGGACTTCTGCTTTTAGGCTGGCGGGCAACATCACTGCGGCATATGTTCGCGGTAAGCGAGTTCAGAGGTAGTACAGGGCAGTGCCGTGATGATTCTACATAATCTCGTTAATCGGACCTTTCGAGGGATGACGAGACTTCTGAGTCTGAGCACGCACTTTCTATCAGGAACTACTTGTTAACAGCTGCTTTCTTTGCTGCAGGAATTTTGCCAATGAGGCTGCTCTTACGCAACACAACACAGCGAAGCATAAGTAGTGTGAGGCAGAAGAGTTGTACGACACGCGAGTTAGTGTCTGCTCTTGGAGCAAGCAGATCACCGGCTAGGAGAAATCTTTGTTGCGTAACTAAGTTGTTATGATTTTTTTGGTTCCTTCTAATGCTTATAGCATTGTTTAACATTGAGCAAGTGGGCCTAATTCCTATCTGTTGTGGACAAGATATTCTTAGGCTAAGATCACTATGTTGGTTTTTGAGTAGAGTAAGAAGTTTCCTCGGATCTGAGGATGGAGGGCTGTTTGATCTGATGCATCTGGTTTCGTGGAACACGATGATTACAGCGTACGGGCAGTCTCGCAAGTTTTTCACGCCAAAGATCTCTTTGACATGCTTCCGGAAAGGAGCGTGGTTTCGTGGACGTCTCTCATGACTGCATATGCCGGGGCGGGGGATTTGGAGAAAGTTTGACAGATTTTCTCCGAGATGACTGAAAGGACTGTCATCACGTGGAGCGCGCTCCTGGTCTCTCTGAGGCGAGAAAAGTCTTTGAACGGACTCCGAAGCACACGGTTGTCTCGTGGTCGTCGTTCATGGCGGCGTATGCTCTGTCGGGGCATATTGAGTACGATCTCCGTGATGCCTCAGCGAGACATTGTTTCATGGTCAGTTATGGTCGCCACCAGAACTTCCAGCAACGCTTATCGAGTGTTTACAAGAATGCCAAGGTGGAACCACACTGCATGGAACAGCATGGTTCTAGCGTATGCCTCAGACGGGCATTTGGAAAAATCCCGGGAGCTATTTGATTCAATGCATCATCGCCGCGTGCTCCCTCTCCCAGGGCAAAGATCTCTTTGACAGGATGCGTCCCCGCAACAAGATGGCATGGAACAACTCTTGTCGCTGCCAATTGCGACAAGGGCTGTCTCAACGAGGCAAAGGCGGTGCTCTCCAAAACGTCGTGTCGTGGAACACATTGGTGACGGCCTATGCCAAGTCCGGGAGCTGCGAGGGAGCGCTCGAGGCCTTCCACTCCATGCCCGAGCTCGATTCAGTCTCCTGGAACGCAGGCCTTCACTATCTCCGGCGAGAGAGATCTTCGAGCTCATGCGCCAGAGGAACTCCATGGCGTGGTCGATGATGATCCAGAAGTACGCTCACTGCGGCAAAATCCACGAAGCATTCGCAAGGAATCCCGAGCACACGACGGTGACTTGGAACTGTATGATCGCGGGCCTCACCTCCAGCGGGAGCTTTCACCAGGTGCTCCATTTCTTCCATGAGATGCTCGAAGGCTGGCCTCCAAACGAGAGGTTCTCGCTTCGTGCAGCCAGAGCAATAGCTTGAGCCTGTGCAAGCACTATTCGAGGGCATGGTGGCGGAGTTTGGCGTGGAGTTTAGCATCGATCACTACCGCTCGTCGTGGATACGTTTGGGAGCTTGGCAAGGCCGAGGCGCTCGTCAACTCCATGCCCTTCGTCCCCGACTATGTGTCGTGGAAGACGCTGCTGGGAGCGTGTAGAACGCACTCGGACTCGGAGAGAGCTCGGAGTGCGAGCAAGTTTTTGCTCGAGGGGGCCGCTGCTCCAGAAAGGGATTCCACTCTTTACATTCTGCTGTCCAACATCGCGCGATCCACTCCTAGCGAGGGGATGAAAGTTTCTTGCTCTTGGTGAAAATGTATCATGTAAGGTACTAAGGTGCCGCGATGCTTGGTTTCGAGCCAGATAGCTCGCGAGCGGCGGTGAGCGCTCGAGTATTCTGGACAATGTAGTAAAGCTCTCAACCGGTGGAGAGAAGCCCACGAAAGTTTGAAGCGTCTGTTAGACGCTGGGATCAACCAGACACTTGATTGTGAGCATTCCGTCGGTGGAGAAAAAAAGTATGTGAATCAAGATGAGAAGAGAAGCTCCTTGTTTGTCACGTGGACTGGCCGAGTGAAGTAAAACGCATCCATGGACGAGAGCTGCGAGCTCGTTGAGTTCGTAAAGGTCGTCCGCCCGAAACGGAAAACAGTTTGGCCGATCAGCTAGCAACAGCACAATCAACAAGAAGCAGCAACGAATTTGACGAATAGTAGCAATGAGCTTTTACCTTGGGTTCAGTAGAACATCGGGAAGGAGTCCACAGTCGGCACAACCTTCCTTAGATCAGTGATCATAAGCGTAGTTGCCACGGGATTTGGATAATTCCCATAACACCACTGGTATTGTGTCACCAAGGTTGTCTACAAAGACGGAAATATTGTCAATAATGAATTCTCTCTGTTTTCCATTCTGATCGTACCTTCAGAGCGAACAAGTCTCCCAAGGATCTAAAGCGAAAGACTTGATCCTCACAGGGGTACCCAGCTGGTAATCGACTGCATCCGGCGGCATTCGAGAAAGCCTGTAGGATTTGTGCCTTACCCTGCTTTGGCCCGGCAATCCTTTGAAGCTCGGCAGGATTCCACACTATTACCAGAATTGGATCCTCGTCCTTGCCGCTGCTCTCCATGAGATGAAGGACTGCTGCCTTGAGGTCGCCTGTGATGTTGAAGCGTCGAAAAATCTCTGCGATCCTCCCATTCAGCATGATGCCTGCAACAGCAAAGCAACAGCAACAGCAAATTAACACCTTTGAAACACACAAAGCTCACACAGCCTGCGCACCACATTCGTCCAGCACAGTGACGCCATCCCCCCAAAACCCTAGACCGTCCAACGCTCTCTCCTCACGAGACAACTGGTGTAGCCGCAGTTTTCTTCTCTTATCTCAATCTTGTCCGAAAGATCAAACTTGGTCTGCCACCCTGCGAGTCCGGAGAGTCTGTCTTCTTATAAAATGAAAAAGAAAAAGGAAAGTGAGAAAAGAAGAGCGATCAAACAAATCCTGTCGAGTGGTTGACGGAAAACTTACCGGAGGTTACTGGGGAAGACGAAGTCCATGAAGTGCTCGAGAGCCATTCCAGCATGACGGAGCTTTGGAGCCAGAGCAAAGTTGGAATCAGTGGGAGTTTTCCCAGCGATGTAAGGGCCCTGAGAAACAAGATAAATGAGAAGAACATTACAAAGAACTTACACATATACATGGAGAAACTTACGTGTTTCTTCAATTACTCCTCGAAAGCTGTGAGCTCGTTGATATGTCTTTGCTGGAGCGCTTCGGTCCTTGGACTTGAGCCAGTTAGTGAACACTGGAAAGACGCTGGAAAATCCAATCTCATCTCAGCAGCAATCGATCTAACTTGTAGACATCGACTTTGAATTCGTGTGGAGTTTTCAGAGACGGCTCCTTGAACTTCTTCTCCACATGCACAATGATTTTGTCCGAATCTTGAATCCAATCAGGACCGTCGCGGAGAACCGGCATCAAGCCAGAGGGATTGTGTTGCATAAACCTGTGAGAGAAAAAAATCCCATCTCCTTACCAACCAGTCTGGCTTTGGAATTTTTTTGGTGTTAGGCAGGAAATGCTTTTCGGCCATTCTCGCTCACCTGTCGATCAGCGCAACCATTTGCTGGTACTATTCTCTTGCTTTGGCATTCTCGCCTCTTGTGATGATGCAGAGCTCCACTGTAAGCTATAGAATTTTGTTTTCTTGCTCTCAACTTCAACTTCTCTTGTCTGTGTGTTCTCTTCGCAGCAGCCTTCAGCCTGTCCTCCTGAGCTCAGTGACGATGTTGTCATTGTTGCGTGAGTCATTCAAGACTTCTTTCTTTTCTTCACTTCCAAATTTTAAACTCCTCCTGGGTTGTGGCAGAGCATTCCGGACACCGATATGCAAGGCCAAGCGCGGTGGCTTTAAGGACAGCTTCCCGGAGGATTTACTGGTTCCTGTTCTCAAGGTATCTTGTGGAACTTTGTTCGCACGTTTTTCGACAATTCTTTCCAGGCAGTGGTGGCTCACACCGGCGTAATACCAGCTGAAGTTGGTGACATTGTCGTCGGGACCGTCATAGCACCTGGTTCCCATCGGGCGGCTGAGTGTCGAATCGCTGCTCTCCTGGCTGGTTTTCCAGGTTTGTCAAGCGTACAGGCAGGGACCTGTTCTTACTTTCTTTTTTTTATTCTCTTGCTTGCAGACACTGTACCAGTTCGAACTGTCAACAGGCAGTGCTCATCCGGTCTACAAGCTGTTGGAGATGTTGCAGCGGCAATCAAATCTGGATTCTATGAAATTGGTCTCGCGTTTTCATGGTTGATGTAGTTTCCTTGTTTAATCGTATCTTTTCCAGGAATCGGCGCTGGTGTGGAGTGCATGTCAATCGATTTTGGGGTTCAGCAGCAACCTCGTGTGAATCCCCAGGTATTACGGGTGTCATTCCTTTCTTTTGTTTTGTGTTACCTTTAACGCTTCAGGTTGAGCTGAACAGCATGGCTAAAGACTGCTTGTTACCTATGGGCATTACGTCCGAGAATGTTGCTGAGCGATATGGCATCACTCGAGAGGAGCAAGACGAGGCTGCTGTAAGTGTTTTGCTACGTTCCGATCAGCTTTGTCATCAATATATTATCCAGGTTGTATCGCACCGGAATGCAGCAGCAGCAATCGCAAGTGGAAGATTCAAAGACGAGATTACTCCTGTGAAAACCAAGGTAGTGATGCTTCATACAAACATGAGTTTCTGACGCTTGTGTGCAGCGTGTGGATGCCACCACTGAAGAGGTCACAGAAAGTGTCATATCTGTGGACGACGGTGTACGCCCCGACACGACCCTTGGCGTGTTGGCGAGACTCAAGCCAGCATTCAAGAGTGGAGGCACAAGTACTGCGGGCAATTCGAGCCAAGTTAGCGATGGTGCTGGAGCCGTTCTCCTGATGAAGAGAAGCTGTGCAAGTCAGCGTGGCCTGCCAGTCCTGGGAGCATTCAGGTGAGTGTTTTTTGCTTGAATTTGATTATCAATCAAATTCAATCTTGACAGGAGCTTTGCCGTGGTTGGCGTAGAGCCCGGTGTGATGGGAATCGGCCCCGCGGTTGCGATTCCAAAGGCCATCAAAGATGCTGGCCTGGAGATTAGCGACATTCATCTGTTTGAGATCAACGAGGCGTTCGCATCGCAGTACACGTACTGTTGCAAGAAGCTGCAACTTGACCCTGCGAAGGTGAATGTGAATGGTGGTGCAATCGCGCTTGGCCACCCTCTCGGTGCAACAGGCAAGCAATCTTCTAAGTGTTTTATGTGTCTTATATTTTGTCATAGGTGCTCGCTGTGTGGCAACGCTCCTCCATGAAATGGCCAAGCGTGGGTCCGCTTGTAGATACGGAGTGGTCTCTATGTGCATAGGTGAGTGAGCTGTTTCGACCATTTGGCCATCCACTTTCTTGTTTTTCTGTTTTTTTGTTTTTTTTTTCCCGCAGGGACTGGCATGGGAGCGGCAGCTGTGTTTGAGCGAGGAGATGTGTAAATTCATTCGCAATCGCCTCAACATTCTACTTCATAATACAAACTTTTGCTGTGTTTGACAGTAGAAGGGTAGCGGTTGTGATCTTTGAGCGTAGAGAGCTTTTGTTACTTTTTATTCAACATTAGCACTGCTCGAAGTTCTATTCCATAAGAAAAAATTGGTTTATGAATCGAGGAAACTCTCATCCAGCTCAACTCTCCTGAAAAACAGATTGGTCATTCTCAGAAGTTGCTGGACCTGAAGATGTTGATGAGGTGAGCCCTTTCGCGCTTGGCTAAGTCAGCTTGCTTCTTCAGCGAGATTTGCTCCTGCTGGTACTTTGCAATGAGGAAACGCTTCCGCTTCTCGGCTTGAATGCGCTCCTAAAACCAACAAACTCTCAGCTTCAGGCCTAGCAAATGGAATAAAAAAGAGAGAGACCTCAAGAGCCTTTTCTTGCTTCTCTGAGAGCTCTTTGCCGTCGTCGTGGCCACCATCTTTAGATTTGTCACCTGCCTTCTTTGTAACCCTGCAAAGATAAAAACACACGCTCAGCTTCTCCGCTTGACACGAATTTCGTTCACTTACTCCAGCTCTCGAGAAGTAGAATCAAGCTGGGAGCGCCCTGAATCCACGCTTCTCAGCCAGCCGAGACGTTCCTTGTTGAGCTGCTTCTCGATCTCTTCGAGTGCAACCTCATCCTGAGCTTGCCATCCACGTTGAGACGGTCCAGGCTCTTGAGCTCCTGCTGGAATCTGTCCTCTATCTCCTGCATCTGCACATTGACGCGATGAGGAAAAGTTGGAAAACGAAGAAAGAGAATCCAACCTTTCTCGGTTTCTTCAAAGACCTGTTGAGCTTGAACGCCTGCTTGAGCTGCTTGGTGGCCCCAAAGCTCTTCCCCCACTTCTCTCGCAGGTAAGCGCACTGTTGTGTCTCGGACAGCATCGGCAAGAGCTTGAGCATATCAAGTGCATGCTCCTCGTCGCCACTACTACCATCCTCATCGTCACACAAGTCTTCCGCTGCTATATCCTGCGCAGGAGCAGCCGCCAGAGACGATACTTCATGACGCTTGATCAGCCTACAAAACGACTTGCTCATGGCAACTGTATCGTCTTCTTCTTGTTCTCCTTGTTCCTCGGCAGCATCAAGCTGCTTCTCTTCAACGAGTTGCTCCTCCACCGCAGGCCCAGAGTCCCTGGCTCGGAATTCCAGCTGCTTGGCATCCACAAAACCAACCTCGGATGATGGATAGGCCACCACAATCCTCGGCTCAGCCGCACTTCCTCCCTTGCTATACACGGCCAGCACCTCGAGTAACTTGAGCTCCGCGAGGTTTTGCGGGACGTCCTCGCCTTGGAGCCCCTTGAACGGCCGCCTCACCTTGCCATCACCCTCGTCCGAGTTGTTGACGAGGAGAACCGGCGGCCACGACATGATGCCTACTTCCTGCCGAAGAGATTCCACCTCCGCCTTGAGTGCCTCCTTCAAGGCGCGGAGGAAAGTGCGGTGCTGCCTCACTCGCTTCTTCCAGTAGTTCTTGAGGTGGAGTATGAGCGCCTCCCATCCCCGGAGTGGTTTCTTCCCGGGGCACAGAGCACACAAGATGTGGGGCTCTCTCCCCGAGCAAGTGAGGCTGGCGCTGCTCTCCAGGCATCCAATCTGGTCGCGGTAATCCGCCACCATCCTCTTTGCAAGCGGCAGAAGCGCGCTGAAGCACCTCTCTTCCAGTGCATCGCCACCCTCTTGGTCGGCGTGGTGGAGGAGGAATTCATACTCGTCGCTCGGGATGAGATCGTCTGGCCGTGTCTCGAGAATCCAAGTGCGATGGATGGCAATCTCCCTCGGCTCTAGCGCCATTCCTTTTCAAAAATTCGAACGGCCCCGCCAAAAGCGGCTCAACGGCTGAGATGTGATCTAGAGAGACGCCTCCCTTCGATCTAGGGCGTCCTCGTCCTTCCCCTAGCAGCGCCTCTTGTATGCTGGCTAGAACCCCCTGCGATGGCGATGCCGATAGCGGTGGCCATGGATCCACAAGCATGGCAGCATTTCGTGCCGCACGCCTCGCCCGCTCGTTGTCGTTGTGGAGCCTGGATGCCGCCACCAGCGCTCTCCACGCGGAGGCATCGGGCTCCAGAGGCATGTTTTCCAGCACCTCCTCGGCCTTGGTCAGCTGCCCCGACCGACCCAGCAGCTCCACCATGCATGCCCACTGCTCCATGCTCGGCCCTGCGGCATACCGGTAGATGAGGAGGAAGAAGGTCCGGCCGTCCTCCACAAGGCTCGCAGCGCTACAAGCCGACACGATGCTCACGAAGCTGATCTCGTTGGGAAGCATGCCCTCCAGTTCCATGGCCCGGAAGAGCTGGAGCGAGACCTTGGCTTGGCGACACCGTGCATACGCCGAGACGATGGCCGTCCACGACACAATGTCGTGCCTTGGCATCGCCTCAAACAGTCTTCTCGCCTGCTCGACGCTTCCACACCTCCCATACATGTTGAGCAGAGCGGTGGCGACCGAAACATCGGCGCGATGCTTGTAGCTCATCTCCTCGTCCACGGCCTGGTGAAGCTCCTTGCCTTGTGCTAGAGCTCCAACGTCCGCACAGGCGTTCAAGGCTGTTATCAAGGTGACCCGGTCTGGCTTCGTGACTCCCTCGCTGTCCATGGCCGCCAGGAGCGAGAGCGCTTGTCTGCCGTGCTTGTTCTGAGCGTAGGCTGTGAGCATGGCGTTCCACGACACGAGCGTGCGCTCTGGAAGCTGCTCAAACATGTCCCTTGCCTCGTCCAGGAGACCATTCTGAGCCAATGCCACCACCATGCTCGTCCACGACACGCTGTTCCACCCCGGCATCGTGCTGAAGAGTTCTTTGGCTTCGGCCACTTTGGCATTGAGGCCGTAGATGGACAGCAGAGTGTTCCAAGCAACGCTGGTCTTGCGTGAGATCTGGTCGAAGGCGCTCTTGGCCTCGCTCACCTGGCCACACTTCCCATACATGTTTACCACCGCAGTTGCGATCAATGTGTTGCCGTCAGTGGTGCTAGTGATCTCCTGGTGGACTAGACTCCCTTGTTCCAAGTCCTCCATGTCAGCACAGGCACCAAGAACACTGGCGAAGCACCCAGTATCAGCTTCCACACCTTCCAATACCATCACTCTGAACACCTGTAGAGCCTCCCTTCCGCGACCGTTCTGCGAAAGCCCGGAGACGATTGAGTTCCAGGAGACTCTACTCCGCTGCGGCATCTTGTCAAACAGAGCCACGGCTTCTTCCACGCTCCCATTCCTGGCACACACTGACACCAGCGTCGTCCACGACACGACGTCCCGCAACGGCATTTCCTCGAACACCTTCCAAGCATTGGCCACATTACTCCCTCCTTGAGCATAGTTGTAGGCGGACAGGAGAGCGTTCCAGGACACGGTGTTCTTGTCCCCGTCCGGAATCGCATGAAACAAGGCACTCGCGTCCTCCACGCAGCCGTTCCGGGCGAAGGCAGAAAGCATGACGTTCCAAGACACGATACTCTTGTTGGCGATGTCCCGGAACACACTCTCCGCCTCCGCTACCCTGTGGCACCGGCCATACATGCGGACGAGCGCAGTCGCCACCACTGTGTCGGGCAAAAATCCTTTCATTCGTGCAGCCACTTGATCCACAGATGCTGACATTGTCTCCTCGTGACTCTCCTTCTCCAGTGACGACGCGCAAGCATCAGACACAGCCAGCATTGTCACCCTGTCAGGTTCTACGCCCTGCAACTCCATGTCGTGAAACATCCCGAGAGCCGTTGCGCAATGCCCGAGCCGTGCACACGCCGTGATGATCGCATTCCAGGCCACAATTCCATGCTGAGGCATCACTTCCAGGATCTGTATCGCTTCCACAATTCGGCCATCGCTGGAATAGGCCGCCACCATCCCCGTCCACGACACGGAGTTGCGCTCTCGCATGCAAGCAAATAACTCATCGGCTTTCCCAAGATGCCCAATTGCGGCATATGCAGTGATCATGGCATTCCACGACACAACATCCCTCTCCGGCATCATGTCAAACAGCCGTTTCGCCTCCTCTTCCCGTGTGATGCTCGCACCAAGCATAGTGTTCCAGGAAAACCTGTTCTTCCGCGGAATCCTCTCAAACACTTGCCTCGCCTCCTCGATCTGGCCGCAGGCGGCGTACATCTGGACCAGCAGATTGCCCAGATAGGTGTCGCACTCCAAACCGGCCTCGCCCAGCCTCCGCTCCAGCTGCTTTCCCTCGGCCACGGATCTACACTGGCGCACAAGCGACGCCCACTGCCGCTGCTGCATTCCATAGCGACTATAAATTTAGGGCTTGATTCTAGAATGAAATCCTTCTGGTGACGATTCATTACTACGTCGACTTTGATCTCATGGCTCCACGATCTGGGAGTTGTGCAGATGTTTCCACAGGATCCGGGCAAGCAGATCACTGGCTGGTTGACGAGGATCAGCGTCTGGCGGAGATCAAAAGGCCTTGCATCATTCATAGCTTTCTGTCCGAGCTGAACAAGAATGCAAGGCGTGGCGTGGAACAGTTTGGGCAGCTTCAACTTGCGGGGCTTTGTGCTCTGTGGCTTGCCGATTCTCAAGGAAGTTATTGCAGATAGGATCCTGGAGGATGTGACTTGTATCTCTGCTTTCGGTCGAGAGTAGCAGGGAGATTGAGCTCCTTGATGCAAGCGACATACGGATGCATGCGCTGCCTTTTCTTTTCAAGTTAAAGATCCCGAGTGGCAGGAAGACGAATCAGCGGATATTGTGAATACGCCCAGTGAGGAAGATGAGGAGGAGGCAACTGATCAATGGTAGAAGGATACTGGAGCTCAAGGGACTGGTGGGTGTTTGCTGCCACTATGTGCAGTCCTTCCAAGTACATTCCTTCGAAGAGTGGCAGAGGGTGGTGTGAAACGGGCGCCTCGTTTGGGGGTCTACTCAAAGATGTGAGACACTACCTGACGGATGTTCTTGGTTGCCTGGAAGCGGAAGGAGTTGCGTCAGTAATCTTGAAATGAAAGAATATACTACAAAATAAATAACAATATTTTATTTTAATTATAAAACAATTAATTATTAATAAATATTTCTTTTTTTTTTCTCTCTCGGGACCATCGGGAAACAAAACACTGTCACTAACAGCATCCTCGAGCAGCTCCGCATCCGTCACCTTAACTATGTTGTGATGGAGGAAAATTTGGTGGTATTATATATGTAATCAAGTATCTCCTTATAACTCTATATAATATATAAAGAGGAGTTGAGATTATGCTTGAAATGAAAGAATATAGAATGCATAAGAGTCAACCTGATCAGCTATGGAATCCTAGATTCATTCGTATGGATATATGCAAGTGAGGTTCTGATGGCTTTGGTGTCGTTGGTAACCATCATACTCATGATGGTTACCATGGCAACATTAATTCTCACTTACTCCAAACTTAAGCCCTTAATACCAAAAGTTTGGTCATATGAGACTATAGGATCTCAAAAACCTCTTTAGTGTTCGTGAAGGAAGCTGCATCCCACTCAAACTGCTCCTCCTATGGCTTTGAAGAGTTCTAAGCTCCTGCCTGCATCTCAGGAAGGTGATCAAAAGGACCACTGGCATCAAAACCGCCGTGGACACCCATGCGAGCAGGAGACTATTTGATTTGTAAG